AAAAGAAGCACTTTAACACTTAGTAAATCACCAACTTGTGCATCCAGTTAAAGGTGTATGGTGGCAGAGATTACAAATCTATGGCCTGGTATAAATTACTACTATTGTTTAAAACATTTTCAACAAGAAATACAAGGAAACCTAAGCAGCTGGAAACCAAAGATTTATAAAAATAATTACTAAAGTAAGACTCATAGAAACAATGCACATTCATCCTGGAGCAGCAAAGCTCACGGACAGTTAGAATACTGAAACAATGACTTAACTGATCACTTGAGAAGTCAGAGCATTCAAGCAGCACTGTTTAGAGAAAACCAACCATGTGTAAAGTGGCAAGAGTAATCCAGACACTAATTATTCTGTAAAAGTAATTTTATCCATAAAGAAATCAGGTAATAAATGAATGGGAGACAGAAATGGAAATTACTGTACTACAGAGAACTGGAATCATGGAAAATAAGCAGCACCTAAGTCTACAAAAGTAAGTCTAGTCAATCAAAAGCAACCAGCTTTATTGTGCAGTTTTGAAAGGATTGGATGAAGGGTAAAGTAACAGATGTACCCTCTGAATAATAGTAAAATATTTGATAAAAATCTCTCTCAAGACTGTTACTCTCCAAAATCAACTGAAATTGGCCTGGACAGGAACACTACAATGTGACCTGAAACCCAATTACTAGTCATAATAAAAAAGTGAAAAGCCTGAAGCAGAAAATAAAAATAAATAAAGAGTAAAAAGATGAGCTTTTCAAGGGCTGGGAAACCCTCCAACCACCACACTGAAAAGTGCTGTATCAGTTTAGACTGATGTTCTCAGAAGTTAAAGTCATAAACAGCAATGGACTGCAAATCTTGATTAGTGGGGTACCGCAAAGACTGAAATTAGTTCTGATGCTATTCATAAACAGAAGCAGGACATGAATATGCTCATGAGATCCACAGATGGCATTTGCAGGTGGTAACAAACTTTGCAGATAAATTGCAATTGCCAGTTCGTACATGTTGTGGTTTAACTCCAGCCAGCAACTAGGCACCACACTGCCACTCACTCACACCCCTCTATCCCCAACCCCAGTGGGATGGAGAATCAGAGCAAAGGCAAAAAACATGGGCTGAGATAAGAACAGATTAATAATTGAAAATAAAGAATAACAATGCTAATGGTAATAATATGAAATAAAAAGAGAGGGATAAAACTCCAGAGAGACAAGTGATGCACAATACAACTACTCACCACTCACCAACTGACACCCATCCCAGAGCAGTGATTGGTGGCTTTTGGCCAACTCCCCTCAGTTTCTATACTGGGAATGACATACACAGCTCCAGAGCATGTTATGGAGAAGAGAACCTGTATGCACTGCATCAATAAAACTAATCAAGAAACACCACATGCTTGTGCAATGTTTCCAAAGGCAGTAAAACTTCTCAACTTTGCTGAAGTCAGTCAAGATTAATCACTAAAAACCAAAGGTTGATTTTGGTTGTAACCTACTTAGAAAATTATGACAATGCTTAAGAAGCTCCCTCATGAGGTCACTGAGAATACATTAACATTTGCAAAGGATTTCACTGCACTTTATTACAGCTCCAAAGTGCCACACCAATGTTCAATTTTGCAAATATAGATAGCTTCCAATCAAATTAATGGAAAAAACATTACTTATAGTGGATGCAATGCTAGATTAATGTTGTTATACTTACCAATCAGCCATCAGGGCTTCAAAGAAAACACAGGAAATTGCACATAAATATTGCTCTGTCCCATTTAATATGTATTTCTAAAGTTAAAGCATGAAAGCGTTAAATATTTTTGTTTTCCATCAAAACCACTCTTTATGTGGCAAGGCAATTAAGTTATTTTGGCATCCGCTCCACATAAAGCAGCTGCTGTACAGTATGTTTTACTTTATAAAATATCTTTAATCAGCACACTGACTAGTTCTGCCATTTATAATTAAGGAGGTAAATGGCAGGTGCAGCATTAATTAGTGAAATTGAAGTCTCTGTACAAGACATGTAGTCATACCAACTTAATGCTTCCGAGGAATAGAAATGATTGCTAACAGCTTTGCACCACAAACTTGACTAGGTAAGACCATGCCAAGAAAAAGAGGCACTTACAACACAGATATGTGTCTGAAGCTTTAAGATCTTGTATTACCAGATGCATTTCTCAAATTCTTCCTCCAAAAGTAAGAATAGAAAAATACTGGAGGCCAAGAGCCTACCCAGTAAGCCATCCTATAAGAGTCTTTTTTTCTGCCTTACAATCAACAGAAGGAGCAGGGAGCAGGGAATCAACAGATCAAGAGATACACAGAGTTATTTGAAAAGATTTTCCCAGTCAGCAACTAAGAAATGGGCTAGACCAACATATGCAGAAATGCCCACAATCACAACTTAAAAACAGAGCAGCTGTTGTTGCAATCCCCTCCCAACATGAAAGTAGGACCACCAGTCCTACAATTATCCTCCTAACAATTCTGCAATTGCCACCGTAAGAGGTTGTGGGTTTTTCTGAGAATGTCCATAGTCTGTGACTTAAATTAAATCTCTCCTTCCTTTTAGAATTGCAGAGGGTATTTTGGCTTGAAGGACTTCTGAAAGGTGGCCTTACAGCTATTTACAAATCGCCAGAGGACCCACATTCAGCAAGATGTCATACAAAATGAGTAATACTTCCAAAGATGTGGTAAGTCACCCTCAACACCAATACTATGTAGCGCTGGGTCCTTGTAGGCTCCTTGCAGACCACAGCCAAGAGTGGTGAGTTCATCATCTCCATGTTCACTTGTTCTGCAGAACCTCAGTTCATAAAAACAAATGCAGTTGGTGAGACTAAAATAATTACAGTGTTCATGGTGTGTGTCATTTGTAAACTAACAGTCTGCTCATCCCTAAGCAAGCACTCTCAGACACTTCATTGCTTTTGGCAAAACTAAGACTACAGTTTGAATGAAGCCAAGAAGTCCCACTTTTAAATTACTTCTAGGCAAAAAGATTAACTCTTCTGATTGTCACATTCCTAAGCTACTTTTTGAAAAGAACTCAAATAAGTGTCCTTCAAAAGTGGAAGCACAACAGTACATCAAATAATATATTTAGTAATACAATAGTAGTAATGTAGTAGTAAAAAGCCTTCTGCATTAATTTTAAGAAAATCTATGCATTTCTGCCTATAGTCACATAGCAGATTTCCACATCTGTCTTGAATAGAAAGTAGTATAAACACCAGGTTAAAGCAACTGCACCCTGTGCTATGAACTAGAGGACCAGCTGTAGACCTCTGCAAAACACCAACCTTTCAAATACTGTACAAGGAATCGAATTGATTCGTGCTTCATTGATGCTAAATGAACGTTTCTTCAGCGGGCAGACAGTGCCTTCCACATGCACAGGAACACGCACTTCCAATGCAAACTGTAGTAGATAAACAGCAGCGGATGGAACCAAACTTACTTGTCTTTTTCTTTCAGTGCTAATTTTGACTTAAAATTGAGTCTTCTGGGAAGGAACACAATCCCTAGCTGTGCACAGTACCCCCTGCCAACCAACTTATGAAGCAGAACTGCTACTGACTCACAAATGAGTTATTCATCCATCCTCCTTCTGACAAGCAGAAAAAGTACATGACCACAGCTGACAGAAGAGAAAACAAAAATTCAAACAGAGGAACTCAGGAAGGGTAAGAAGGAGAATTTAGAAAACAAGGATGATGTGATAAAGTCAATTTGTTATACTCTGCAAGAAGACACAACGACAATAAACTCTTAGCCAGACTTGCAAGTCTTTAAATGGACCACTAACGAGTGCTGCACAAACAAATCAAAAAGGCCACCATTTATAAACACCACAATGTTTTGTTTGAAAATGCAAAATGAGACAGTGGAATTTCAGTAGTATTTTTAAGCTTTTCCAGGTTAGGCACAATCAGGGTAGGTATGAAAGAACTGGTTTAAACTAACAGAAGAGAACTTAGGGGGAGGAAAAAGCTTTGCCTATAAATGGGAACAAGCACCACTAGGGAACAGACTTTAGAAAGTACACGTGGGGGTTAAACAGAATCTACCCTCCCAGACAGGTGCAGCTCACAGCCGAAATATTTCAGACAGCAGTATTCACATTTTTATGCTATCACAAACAATTTCAGTTCCCAGGCAGGTCTAAGACAGCGATAGTCATATAAACTCTCTGAGAAGACAGCAGCCATGCCCTACCA